ATGCCTTTTGTCTCGTTTAGGTCGATTCCGCTGCTCGGGGCTTCTTGACGGCACGACACTAATCGGCTAAACAATTCCCGACGTGGCTGACTTAACGGCTTTACGTCCGGCTTTGACTCGAAGGGCATCATCTTCCACTTTGTAGTGCTGTTCGACCTTCTTCATTAATGCCCAGATGGTTTTGGGGGGACACTTGGTTAATGAGCTGCGAATGGGGCTATCAGGATGCAATCCCATCTTAAAGACGGTGATGGCTATGGAATCATTGCAAGCATCATCTACTAGATTAAAGCACTCCCAATAGCGGGCCGAGTATTCACAAAGAGTTTCTTCCGATTTAATTTGTATGGCGCAGAGAGAATCGACTTGCTTCAGCTGGACCTCATTAGTGATGAATCTTGCCCTGAATGACTTTTGGAGTTGGTGGAAGCTCTTAATTGATGCCGGCTCCAGTTTATAGTACCACCTCACGGCCAGTGGTCCCAGACTGCTTGGAAATATCCAACACATGAGGCTTCGTCGTCAGCATGGAGCGTCATCGCTTACTTATAATGACGAATGTGATTAGAGGGGTCTGATTTTCCGTCGTAAATGGTGAACAACGGTTCCTTGAACTTTTTGGGTAGCACAACCCTAGCAATTTGTCGCATGAATGGGTCATGTTTATCTTCCTTATCCGAATCATCGCTTCTTCTTCGTCTATGCCGTACATATGGACTCCCTTCGGACGAGCTGGATACATCAACGCGCCATTTCTTTTTGGGCTCCAGGGATGGTGAGTCTGAATCACTATCATTATTGCATTTTTGAAGTCGACTTCGACGGCTATCCTTCTTTCCCGGAGGTTGATCCTAGTCTTAGCATGCGGCTTGTTGGGATTTCGCCACCTCTAAGGCCAAATCCTGGCGCAGGCGCTCATTCTCAGCCATCATGTTCTCCAGCCGTTGTTCATTTTGCTTTGCCTGATCCATAATCGTCTGCATTGTCTCATGCATTGAAGTTGAGGGTGAGGTCTGAGCTACTGAGTCAAAGTTCAAAGCACGTCGCGTGGCGATATTCTCCGGTCCCAGCATGTTTCTTAGAATGAGGTCATCTCTTGGTGTAGTTTCGTCAATGACTATTGGAGGATCTTCCGTTACGCCCGCCATGGATGTACTTGAGTTCTCCCACAGGCTTTGGGATCATCCAGGACGGAGCCGAATACAATATTTATTCTGATTATCCTCAAACCTGTTATTCGGCTTTCTCGCATGTACATCAACATTATCCGGCGCCCACAATTATAATTTGTTTTCAATACATCGGAGAAGTAGATAATTGAATTCATTACCTCCTAATAGGATCAAAATTCTGGCCACTAAATCAACTCCGCTTATGTAATCACAATTTCTTTTTAAATTTAATTTAGAGTAATGTTAGGCATACACCATGGAATATTTTATGAAGATTTTCCATCATTTGATTAGTATATAATATTTTGTTATGTGTATTTTAAAAGTGAAGAATTTTTATAAAACTTTCATAATACCTAACGTTACTCTTTAATTTACCTTCAAGGCGTGGTTTGCAGCCTTAGCAAGTAGAGCAAAAATGCTTACTCTCCCTTCCTTACTTAGATTTGTTTGCTTATTTTTATGAGAGCAAATATGATATTACAATGAAGTTTGTTGAATTATAGTCATAAAAATAAAGATCAAATATAACACATAATATATACAAAAAATTCTCAATATACAAGAAAATAAAACTTACATGCGAGTAGAAAAATTCAAATTATTGATCTCTTAACGAGGCGCAAAAGATTATGGCTATAAATAGACTAGTCTCATTCCATTAATTAGTAGAAAAATTACATATTTGTGGCATAAACAAAAAATATTTACAAAAAAAGTAATAAACAAAAAAAATATTAATAATTAAAATTATAAAATTTTCACCTTTTTGTAAATATTTTTTGATGATGCCACTGATGTATAATTCTCCCTTGATTAATGGAGCTTTTGATTAATTAATTGGATCATGTAATTTTTCCAATCTGTATGGAATTACTAATCTTTCTAGTTCTATTCTAAAAAAAGACGGGTTGGTCTTGGAGTAGTTAGGATGATAACACCTATCCACCTGAAAAAAGGGTTGGTGTTAGTGAGTGAGGCTCATTTGTCAATTTGATTGAAAAAGAACCATCAATGTACACAATTTTCATTGAGAAAATGTATTCATATTCAAACTACTGTGTGACCACATTCTCTTTTCTGTCCTTTATTTGTTGACTAGTCTCTATTTTTGGCAATTGGTTTTAATTTTGGGGAAATTATTATTCACTAGAAATTGGGATAAATATTTACTAAAAAGTGGGAATTTTCTTGAATTCTCACTTTTTAGTTCTTTACAATAATGTTCAGACGCTTCTTTTTTTATGGGCAAATTATATAAATAGTCCTCATAATTTGGGGCTTATGTCGCTTTGGTTCTTGACTTTTCAATTGTGACATATTTGATCATGAATTTTGAATCTTATTCCAAATAAGGATAATTGAAACTACCATTGTTTAATTTTAAGGATAAAATTGTCAATTTAATAAAATATAAACTAACTTGACAAAAATAAATGTCAAAAGAATATTTTTAATTTTTTAAAAATTATTTTTATCCACCAATGATAAAATTATGTAAAATTGATAAAAATTAATGAAAATTACATGATTAATTTTTTAAAATTAATTTTGCATGATCATTATCCAAACACATAATAAAAATTAATTTGGTAAAAAAAATAAATAAATGTTTAAAAGATTTATCAATTTTACATAATTTTATTTTTAATGGATAGAAATAATTTTTAAAAATCCAAAAATATTTGTTTGACATTTATTTTTGTCAAATTAGTTTATATTTTATCAAATTGACGATTTTACCCTTAAAAAATCTAATAATATTTTTAATTGTCCTTATTTGGAACAAGATTCAAAATTCAGGGTCAAATGTGTCACAATTGAAAAGTCAGGGACCAAAGCGACACAAATCCCAAACTATAGGGACTATTAGTGTAATTCACCATTTTTTTATAAACACAATTTATGTAGGGTAAGTTACACTGTTTTCCTATGAGATTTGAAGAAAAAACAATAAGTTTTATAATTTTGATATAATTATAAATCAACATAAGTTTTTAAAAATAATTTTAAATTAGTAATAAATTTTATCAATTTTAATAATTAAAATTATAAATTTTTATGTAAATTTACAAATATTTTGTGACATTTCGAGTGATTTGCCATTTTTCCGTAAAAAAAATAAAATGATATCATAGCATTATTTTTTAAATGAATGAGTTATGTTAGCACGCTAAATAATCTATTAAATTTTTTATATCAACGTAAGATCCATACACATTTTTTTATCAAACCTCATATAATGTGAAACTCATAATAAACATATAAATTTGTGTGAATTCCAAACTCATAAACTCATATGAGAGGTTTGATAAAAAATTTATTTGAGATTCATATCATTCATCAAAAGTAAATTATTTGGTAATTTAAATTTATGTAATCTAAATGATTTGAATTTATTAAAGCAACATTATTTTATCATAAAATATTATCAATTTAATACATTCAAATCATAAAAATTGCAGTTACTAACCATTGTAAAAATTGATTTGTAGGAGAAAATTAGAATTGGGAGTTGTGCAGCCGTAATTGTTGACTTTTGGTGAATAGTGATAACTTTTTAACTTTTTGAGTAACTTTTTGACTTTTTGACTTTTTGGGGTGTTCCCAAACTTGGCCTTAGTCTTCCCAAACTTGACCTAAATATTCTGTATAAAAAAATATTATAAACAGTCTTTAAGACTATTATTAAAATAAAAAAATATATATATTTGAATTATAAATATTTTGATATTTTACACTTCTTATTAATAAAATCTTACAACTCTCATTAGCAAGCAAACAAAATATCCCTGTCTATAGTCATTTTTAATGATGTGTTATGTTTTGTATAAAAAATCAAAAATAATTTTTAATAATGTATTACATGCAAAATTGTAACAATGTCAAGTGATATTCATATTCAATTTTTATTAAAAAATAAAAACAACTAAAACATTATCAAATTATGATATTTTTGCATCATAACATATTAATATTTAGATTTGACATTATGGTTTCAACACCAACTCTAAAGTTTACAAAATTGTTAGTGAGACCATTCAAAAAAACCATATATAAAAGTTTACAAAATGTAGTGAAGTAGCATCACATTCATTTTATTACAGGGTGAGTGAATCCTATTTAGAATAAAAGGTTACACTTTCTTCTCTTCAAATATCATTTTTACCCCTTTTGAGAATGGTGAAAGTAAAGCGATTTTTACAGTTAAAGAGTCAAAAAAGTTTCAAAATTAAGAAAAATAAAATTATATTCATTTATAGTTGAAGAATATAAAATGTAATTAACTCTAAAAAAAATGACAGCACTATAATCCAAATTAAAATATTTCTGAGTACCTATCAGTTAGTTTACAAAAAAAAAATCTTAAATCACATAAATTAATTATAAAATTAGACACACAACCTTCCGAGTAAACCTCACCTTGTTGCGAGTCTCGCACTTGTATGAAAGAATTATATCCGATTATGTGATTAGTTTCTCATACAATTAAAAGAAGTCTTCTTGAAAAAATTGCAATCAGTGGTCTTTTTATAAAACATTTACAAATTCATAAAAAAAATTAAAATTCTAATTATTAAAAATGATAAAATTTACCGGTGATTTAAATTTATTTTTAAAAATGTACACTGAAGTGCAATTTTTCCAAGTCTATTTTAACTTACCCATGTGTATCTGTCATATTCCAGCAAAGACGAGACAAGTTTGAGAACCAAAATTAAAAAACAGATTCATACAGAAAGGAGCAACAAAATTGCATGGCCTTGAATTTATAATATAGAGAGAGAGACATAAATACGCCCTTGTAACGTATGCCCAGATAGAGACTTGACATAAAAAGAGAGAGACAACCCATAAAACATACATATAGAGAAACAAAGTGGGCAGATATTCTTCATTGCTTCTGTCTTTACTTTTTTTTTCTTTTTTTTTTCTCTCTCCCTCTTTCTCTCTCCTTTCCATCTCTGCAACCATCAACCCTGCTTTCATCTTCCCATGTATATCACAAATGAATGGAGAGAGAGAGAGAGAGAGAGAGAGAGAGAGAGAGAGAGAGAGAGAGAGAGAGAACTAGGGCCAAAAGGGACATAACAAACATAATAAATATAGAGTTTTTAGAAAGAGAAGAGAGAGATTAACGAGGGCTGCCAACAATGTCCACAAATAGTATCCTGTTGAGAGATGGCACATGCATAGGCTGTTCTTGGGCTCTGCTCTTCTTGAAGAGTGGCTCTGGTGAAGAAGAAACAACAGCCCATGAGTCATTTGAGCTATCAGAGCTGAAAGATGCATCAATCACATTGCTAGGGCTGCTTGGGATTTGTTGATACTTGCGCTTGTGAGGGTTGTTTTGTTGGCCATTGAAACAACAACTAGTATTGCTTGCTAGCTCTCCTATTAGTTCATAGCAGTCCTTCACTTTCTCCTGTACCATAGAATCATATAATCAAGCATTAATTGCCTTTGTTTGAACTTTATTGCCACGTAATGAATGAAGACAATAACATTAATTAGAGTAAAGCCTTGTTTTGCATCTACTATATAATCCATCTTTTTTTTTTTTTATCTTTTTTTCATCACATCACCTCTCTACTTTTCTGCACATCTTTTCGTAAAAAGACAAAAAGTGCACTTTTTTAGTACACCCCAAACCAACCCTAAATCTAAACTTTACCGTGAGATGTTTTGAGAAATTAATAAAAAATTAATTTTTTGACTTTTTTTAATTTATTGTCTCTTTATAAGTAAAAAATGTGACAAGTGATATGACTCAAAATAAATAAAAAATTAAAAATTAATTTTTTTTAATTTTTTTTTTGGCTTCTCAAAAGACCCCTACAGGCTACAAATGATTTTTACAAAATAAGACACAAATGGAAGACAAAAAACACAAATGTGAGTTGAACACATGACTCACCGCCACCTTTGTCTTCTATCTGTATTTTATTTTGTAAAAATTGTGTGTATTTATAGAACAACGGTAGTAATTCACTACAATATATAAGAGTTTTAGAGATTAAATATTTGGTCTCTAAAAGTGTAAATTTCGTTGCAAAAGATATTTAAGAATCAATTTTTATCGTCGTAAAAATAATCGTTAAAAAGTCGTCATGAAAAGTAAAAAATAAGACTTTTAGCGACAATTTTAAAAATATCACTAATAAATAGATTTTTAGAGACAATAATTTGGTCTCAAAATGATTTATTTTTTAAAATAAAAATTTGATTCCAAAAGGATAATAATTTATCACTAATGCCCAATTTTCCTTACTAAAAATATAATGATACTTTTTGCAACAAAAATATTTAATTTCTAAAAAATAATTTTTTTTCCTAAATTTTCGTCTCTCAAACCTGAAATTTTTTGCAGTGATTATAGGATTTTTTGAAACTCATTAAAAAATACTTGAAAATGCAATATGAAGGACCTATACAGAATGATAAGCATTAATTAATATGTTTAAACTTTTATTGCAAGGGAATGAATGAAGACGAGAGCACTAATTATAGAATGAAACGAATTATACAATTTGAGACTCGTGTCATTTTAATTCTTAACCTTTTAATATAACATTTTTTATTTTAAATTTTAAATCTTATTTCAAATAAAGACAATTGAAAATACTATTACTCAATTTCAAGAACAAAATCGTCAATTTAATAAAATATAAACTAATTTGACAAAAATAAATGTCAAAAAAATATTTTTGAATTTTTAAAAATAATTTCTAAAAATTTCATGTCAAAAAATATTTTTAAAAATTCAAAAATATTGTTTAACATTCATTTTTGTCAAATTAGTTTATATTTTATTAAATTGACGATTTTTCCCTCAGAATTAAGCAATGATATTTTCAATTGTCCTCATTTAAAACAAGATTTAAAATTCATGATCAAATATATCACAATTAAAAAATTAAAGACTAAAGTAATACAAGATTCAAATTATAGAGACCGTTAGTATAATTCGTTTTATTGAATTTTATGGGACTTGTTAAAAAACTTGAAAATGCTAAATATACGGAAAATGGTGGAATAATGATATTTTACAACTATGAGAATTTGAATAATAGATGTCATTATCACACATTCTGTATAAACACTTTCCTTTTTCTTTTTTGTTTATAAACTCTGTTGTATAGCATTACCCAGTTTGAAATAGCTGTATATATATATTTTATTTTTTTAAAAAATAAAATTACATGCAGTAAAAAATATACCATAATTTTAAGATAGAATAAAGCTTAAGACCTCCGGTGGGTATTGGGGGTCACTCCTGATTGGCCAAAAAAAACAATTTTTTTTTTTGTTCTTTTGGTTTTAGCAGCTGGCAGAGCGCCATGTGGCATTGGGGGTTACCGCTCGAATCACGGCTGTTTTAAGATAAGTGCACTTAGATAAGTATACTTATTTGGATTAGATCATTTATCTTTTTTTTTTGTATATATTTTTTAAGATAAGTGCACTTAGATAAGTATACTTATTTGGATTATATCACCTATTTATTTTTTTGTATATACTTTCATAAAAAATTTAAAAAATATATTTATTTAAATCATTCCAAATAAGGCAAGTATAGTTAACTAATACCCTGAGATACTCGTTAACAAAACTATCTATAATTATAAGAGCTCACAAAAGAATAGATACAAACCCTGTTGAGATTGAGAACACCCAGAAGCTGGTTTTGATACTCAGTGGAATTGCAAGGATCAACTTGGTGGATAACGTGAAGCATTGTTGCAGCAGCCAATACAGATGGCAGATAACCCACAAATCTCGAATCTATATAATCATTAAGAAAACGCATGTGAAAATGTTGAGATATGACTATGGTTTGTTTCTTTGTTCTTTGTTCTTTGTTGTTATCGAAAGATCTTAGTCTTTGGTCAATGGGATTCAAGACAATAGCTATGATGGGTATGCTTACCAGCGACAACAGAGAGGAGGAGGCGCTCACATCGCCGGAGAAACTCCCAGTGGAGGTGGGTTTTCAGTCCAAGCCTCCTTATGATGTGATCGAGGAATGAGAGTGGTGTCACTGGGTTCATCCTCCATTGTAGTGTTGACAACACCAATAGCTCCATTCTCTGTATAGTTTTGGCCTCAAACACATACTTTGTGTCCTCCACCTAATGAAAGAAGCACAAGCCACAGCATTGATGACTCAATTAAATCAATGGTCAATTACATCAAGACCCCTAATAATTTAATTATTAGCAAATATCACAAATGAACTCATATATTTGACTCAGATCCAACGCTCCACAATAATTAAGAGGGTCAAAATGAACAAATTCATAAATGAGTTGATGGGGGTGTTGGGTGTAAATCCTTAAATCAATGAAACATGGCACTAAAACAACGCTATCAAAGGTTGTGTACATACTTGGAGATCCAAGAGGAGAGGGACTTGGGTTTCTTCAACTTTTGCAGCCAAAGAGAGACAGGTGACAGCTGCAAGTTGGATCATCCATGGCTTATCTCTCTGAAAATGGAGGCTAGAAAGAAACCTATCTAGATAATTAATGGCAAGAATTGCAGTGAGAGCTGTGAACCCATAATGAGCATTGACTTTCAACATCCATTCCACAGCCTCCATGCGAGCCACAGAGATTGCAGAGTCTGCGGTGCCATTGTTGTCATCAAGGTTGAGAAGATGAATCTCTTGTTCTTTGGAGAAGAGAGAGAGAAGCTCTTCATCTTCCCAAAACAGGTCCTGTTCCAATACCAACAGATGGAAAAGAGAGAGATTATTATCACTTTCTCTCTCCTCTCCTAAGCTCTCTATTCCTACAACAACTTCCTCCTCCTCCTCCTCCTCCCATTGTTCTTCCTCACAGTACAGAGAATCTTCTAATAGAAAAGAATGGTTTTGCTGTATAGCCATCTTCTTCCAAGAAGACGAGGTTTTAGAGCCTTGATCATTATACAAAAGAGAAAAGAAAAGTGGACCTCATTGTAACATTGATGGTCCTCTCTCTCTTTTCTCTTCTCTCTCCTGTGTGTGTTAAGCGAGAGAGAGACTCAACTGTTCTCAAAAACAGAAAGAAAAGGAAGAGATTTCAACAGAGTGGGTTTCACGCTTGTCCTTTCTTTATATATATTGGGATGGGATGGGATGGGATGGGATAGTGTGTGTGGGTTGATTTTTTGTATTGTATGTGGGGTTTTCTTTTCTTTTTGAATTGTATTCCAATGCTTTCGGTGTCTTTCATTGGCGGGCAAAAATGTAACGGCACACACACCAAGCCGGACCCCATGAAAACAACCTCTTACGGAAGCAAAATTAAATAGACACTGTGCTCTAGATTCATATTATATATATATATATATCAATATGTACAAAAAGTGTATACATACATATATGCAGAGGTATTAGTGTTTAAAGATGTTGGGTTCTGTACTTATTGGCTTAGATTTTTTATTTTATTTGTTTTTTAAATAGGGCGCATGACATTAAATAATACTATTATACAATTAGATTTTGTTTGGCATGTACTAAAATATTATCTTATTTGAATTACAATCATCTTATTTTAATCACATTACTCTTTTACCACATCATTTAAAACCTAACTCATATTTCACGTTTTTTTATATAAAAAATCAAAAATCATATTAATTTAGTACTTCCCAAACAACTTTTTAATCAAACGGTACTTAAACTTCTGAATCCACAAACACATACAAGTATTATAATATGTGAAATTCCAACACATGATAACTTAATTATTTATACGTATTCTCATGTGTAACTAAACTCTTTTCCGTTAAGCAAATATAAATATTAAGATTATCAAATAGACAATTAGATTCACACTATAACATCTAAAACCAAAGAAAAGGGTAACATAATTATTTACATCTCAACACTCCTCATTTCACAGCTACAACGTAGCAAAAAATATTGATATGTAAGTGCAAAACACAGACCATGTTTGATAACCGTCTTGTTAGAGGAAATGATTTGTTTAGCAATCTGGTACCCTAAATATCAATCTGCAAATATTGTTTGGGTGTAAAAAAGGGTATGGGACTAAGGTCCCGTTTGTTTTCAAAGATAGAATGGAGGAAATTGATAGTGAGTAGATTAATAGTGAGGAGATTGTTAGTGAGGGGATTAAGTAAAATTGTGTTTGTTTTGATAATAGTTGTTAGTGCAGGGATTGTTAAATTATTTTTATATAAAATAAATATAAAATAGTAAAACAAATCAAAAAAATACAAAAACATTAAACATTAATGTTTTAAAAAAAAAGTACAACATGTAAAAAATTTTAAAAAAATAAAAATAAAATAAAAAAATTTCAAAAATAAAATAAAATAAATAAAATAATGATTTTTACTTAACAAAAAATACAAAAAATTAAACATTAATGTTAAAAAAAAATGCCCGACATGTAAAAAATAAATAAAAATAAAAAATTTCTAGTCCGCCAGACTATTCTTCTAATATCAAGTCCTGGAGGCCCATTCAAATCCCATCTGCAAAGCCTATCTTAAGCCCTTCGGCTTAGCGGTCCCTTCCTCAATTCTGTAAACAAACAGCATATTAAATAAGGCCCACAGCTATCTTAATCTCAATCCCCCTCTCATACCCCAAAACAAACGGGGCCTCAGAGTCCCATGCTAAGAAGCACGAATACGGGATACGGATACAGATACGGATACGATACGATACGGCGATACGACAAAATTTGAAAAACTAAGATACGGGTACGGCGGGGATACGTTCGTAAAAAATATTATTTTAACAATTTTTAGTAATGCAGTATGCATAAAAATAAAACTTAAAGCAAAAGACAACTTGATAAAGGAGAAAGATTCTTACAAAACTAAGAGTCTTCAAGGTCAATAGCTTCAACTTGTTCCCCTTCATCAATGAATATCACAAGACTTAGCTAAAGCCAAAGCCAAAAAACCATTCTTAAATAAAAATTTCAGCAAATATACTTTTTTAAGTCATCAATGATAGCCTAGGAAGCACGGATACGAATATGGTGATATGGGGACGTGGATATGGCGATATGTCAAAATTTGAAAAAGTATGATACGGGTATAGCGGGGATACATTCATAATTTTTTTTTTTTTTTGTGATTTTAATAATGTAATATGCATGAAAATAAAACTTAAAATAAATTAATAAATAAAGCGAGGGATTCTTATTAACCTAAAAGTGCTCAAGCATTCATAAACATCCAAAACTAAAAGCAAAAGCAAAAGCAAATGCAAATACAAATTAAGCATCATCCTTACATGCCAACACCAAAAAAAGAATGAGAGCAGAGAGAAGAAACGTGAGAGAGTGAGAAAGCGAGAGAGAAGTGAGAGAGACAACAAGGATACATCAATTTGACAAATTCTATTACTTAAGCTCTCACTATATTCCTCTTATGAAAGAACTAAACAAAATATTATAAGTAATATGTAACTTCGAGTATCCGATACTTCAAAATTAAGTATCCGATATTTCAAAATTAAGTATCCGATACTTCAAAATTAATAAAAAATTAATTAAAAAGTATTCGATACTTTTAAGAAGTATCCGATACGTATCCGCGAGTATCTGAGGAGTATCGGTATCCGATAAGTATTCGATATGGATGCGTCACCCTTTTTGAAGTATCCGTACTTCATAGGTCCCATGTAATAGTTAATCCCCCAAGGGGTGGGATTCACAGTCTAATCCCACTAGATTAGATGGCTAAAAACCATTTCATTCTCTATTTACAAAAACAACAAAGTTACTTTTTATATAATGAGAACTTTTACGTAATTTCAATTAATACCACACACTAATACACTAATAAATCCAATTAATCTTATATTTTCAACCTCATACCACCATACTAATAATACCAACACTCAATTACTAATCCTATTCAACCTAATTCGGCAATCGAAACATGCCTCAAAGTAATGTGCCATATTAGGGTTCATCATATAGAACTACCATTTTAATGTCACAGCTACTAAACAATTTAAATCCACCAACAGAACAGAGAAATAAATATATTATAGTAAAGTTAATCACACATAAAACTTAACCTAGACACAAAGTAAGCATCCATCCACTGTGAAAAGCCAAAAGCAGCCAGATGGATATGAAAGTCATGGCATGCATACAGGGCTCTCTATTTATTTACAACGGGGAAAGTGGTGGCCAGCCAAGCACAACCCACCAAACAATGATTAGTAGTTAGTTACCATAGTTATTACACTGTTAAACCAGCTATTATCCCCTAATAATGAATTCTTAACTACAAACAAACAGCTACTGCATTATACATTATTAACTAAATTAAATTAAACAAAACCTTCTGTCCCAATTAAGTAAAATCGGCTATGTGAAATTTTTTCCGCCATTCTATTCTATCAAGGACTATATATTTAGTTAAATTAAATAAATCCAATTATATCATTCTTCTATAGCATTTAAAAAGATTCTCATTTTACATGACCAACTCATCTCAACTTATTTTCTCTCAAATTATCTTCATTTATTGAATTATATATTCTTAATTTATAAAAGTCAAAACAACCCCACCTGTCCCCTTTTGGGTTTTAAGAATTAGTTGAGCAACATCACAACACACCAAATCCCCTTTTGAAATCATCAATCATTTCTCTCCCCAAAAAATAAATCTTATGAACTGTTTCATAGATGTTTAAGACCCTCCTACAGGATCTTGTCCAATCAAACAGCAAGAATCAATCTCTCAACCGATTCTATACATTCTTTTTTTCTTTTTCCCGCTACATTCTTAGACCTTAACAATATAAAAATTATTGGCAGATAACCGCGTCAGGGTGGAATGAGTTTAAAACAGGGTGTGTGTAAAGATCTAGCAAAAATTTGTACAATCTAACCATAATATGACAACCTACACCATCTTAAGATGTCATTATTTAACAACACATTACTTAGGTTTCTATTTCAACCATTTCTCTCAAGTCTACCTAAAATGGGGAAGCTATTTTTTCCTAGCCATATCAAATGGACAAAAGTCCATTTGTTGTCAATGTATGATTCTCTGTCCCAAAAATGGGATCGATCTCTCCGTTCCATCACTCATGATCACATGATCTGATTTTTTATTTTTTATTTTTTAATTAAAAATCAGATTATGTGACTGTGACTGTGAGAGATGAAATTTGTGAAAGACATGTACACAGATGAAACCCTTTTCCCGTAATTGAATGACTTCTATGGATGCATGCATGATGCATATGTGCAAAACCATCCACTCTCTAAATCCTAGCAACACTAACGCCGTGTTTGGTTGAGGGATTTGAAAAGAGAAAAGGAAAAGGAGTGTGAAACTAGGTGAAATATAAGTATGTTTTATTAACATTTCACCTTCTTTTTCCCTTTCCCTTTCCGAATCCCTCCTCAAATCCCCTAACCAAACACAGCATAAAGGTTGTTGTGTCAACCGAGGCGTTGGTAAAGCCTCAGTCTAGTCATCCATCAATTTGTTTTTCTCTATGATCTCAGTACAAGTATGAACAATAGAGCAAAAAGGGAGTACACAGCTTATAAAGCACCCTCCAACCTCCACTTCTGCTAATTGTGGCTTGTCCATGATTATCATCTTCTTTTTTTCAGTAGGTGCACAAAGGTCATCCACTATAACAGAAACCTTTCAAACTTACCAATAATAACTCACATGGGTTTGACAAAAGGGAAAAAAAAGGCATTTCCCAAATGACCAATGACCGGCCAAGCTTGACCATTTTTATGTACAATAATTCTATAAACACAGAATTGACCACATAACCAACCATAAAAAGATACACATGTAATGGTGTGAATGGAGCAATCACTTTAGTGGGTGGGCCCCACAACTTGATATGTATGGTCAGAATTATAATAAAGGGCTGAGATAAGTACCAGACCCAGACCCTAAACAAAAGAATGGATTACGGGAGAGTGAATGGAGAAGTGGTGGATCGTGAGGAACCGATCACTCTGGTGCGGTAAGAAGATGCTGACGCCGAGTCATTGAGTCATGTGAGTGAAGCAATCTCTTTAGCGGTGCATCCCACAACCTAATGTGTACGATCAAAATTATTTTATGCAATCAGTTCTCTATCTATAGAATTTTTTTTATGCA